TACTAAGGAGATACGTGTTTTGACATGCCAAAAGAGATTCTGCATCCTTGCACAGTATATACTTATCAAGAAGTGTCTGGTTGAGCACAAAAAAGCTGTGGCCCCATGAAAACTTTTCCATCAAGGCGGTAGCTTGATCGCTGAAGCCCAATATGTAAAGGGTTGCAGCGAGTGCCTCTGCACAGGAGAGTTGCATTGGACGCCCATAGTTGATTGGATTGGAGGCAACCAAATATGGAAGCAATCGGCCGTGTTTGTATCTTAACTTAGAAGATAAAAATTATAAAATCATCCGGGAAAAATACGCTTAAGATTAAAAATATCGAAGAATATCATTATTTATAAGCAATATTTTATTTCAAGCCAAGTTTGCCATATCTACTGGTAAATTTTAAATGTAATAAATAAAATCACATGGAAGGCGTATAGAAAATATGTATAAAATTATATATCCAACCTAAAAAGTTAAGGAGTGATTTGCAATGAGATGCCATCGCATTAATGACGGAAATAATTGTAGGAATAAATAGGCTTGAAACCTAAACATAATAACAAAATAATTGTTGACCATAAACTATAATAAGAATAATACATTTTATAAATATGTACAAAAACAAGTCAATGCTTGTTACCAGGATCAGTTAGATCCCAAAGAGAATTAATGCTAGAAGCTATATCCAAAATCATTGAAAAAGAACATCCAAATTTCACATTGAAAAATTAAGGACATCCCTTTAGTTTAAGTTTAATCAAAAGTTAACTAATAATGACAAACAAATTAAACAAATATTTAAGATAATTTCTAATAAATGACTAGTCAGGAATAAAGCTTAAGGCATAGAGCAAAAGCAAGCGCGAAGAAAATACCTTAGAAAAATTTGTATGCTCTATTTGAGCCCAAGAACAGTCAATTACCGCAACTCCAGCATTTTTTATAACATCAAAATCTCGCTTAGGATCTAGAGACTGTGTGGCAGTAGGTGAGAGGACGATTCCAGAAAATGTTTCTCCTCCACGCAATAATTTCGTTAATCCAAGACGAACAAGTTTTCGACCAGAACACTTCTTAGGATCACATTGGCCCAGATCCCACATGGCAGTTAATACATTACAATCGTCAGTGCGAGTTTTACTAGGGAACTCTACCCTATATGATTTTTTATTTAAAAGAGCAACATGCACGTACGGATCATTGTCTGAAAAATCATAACCATGGCCAAGATTAGATAAATCATATTCACGATTATTTAAGCGGTTTTGCATATTTTTACCATGCATACCACGCGTAGGACGGCGAGGCATGAGGAAAATTGAAAAGCGTGCAATGTAAGCAAAGCTAGCACCAAATTAATGCGA